GGCTGCCGGGCCCCCCGGGGATGATGGTAAGGAGGGGTGGCCGTGGAGAGGGGGGGGTGCGGGACCCCGTTCCCCGCGGGGCGCGGTGGCCGTGTCCCCTCGCGTGTGTCCCCTCGTGTCCCCCCAGGGAGACGTGGTGAATTACGACGAGATCAAGCGGTTCATCCGGCAGGAGCTGAACAAGATGTTTGACGGTAACAACGGGGCGGTGGCGACGAGGTGACACCCCGACCCCCGTCCCCGCCCCGTCCCCGCCGGCACTGAGCTCAGTCCCTGTCCCCGCAGAGCGGATGGCGTACTACACCTCCCGGCTGCACTTCCCGGTGGAGATGGTGGCGTCCCCGGGCAGACCCGGTCCCCCCGGGAAGGATGGGCTGCCCGGCCGGCCGGGACCCCCCGGCTCCCCAGGGATGCCGGGGCAGATCGGCAGAGAGGGGCGGCAGGGCGTGCCGGGCATGCGGGGTAGGTGCTGCTCCCGGGGGCAATCCCAGTGTCCCCAGGGCATTCCCAGTGTCACCGGCATGTTCCCAGTGTCCCCGGGGTGTTCCTGGTGTTCCCAGTGTCCCTGGGATGTTCCCAGTGTCACTGGCATGTTCCCGGTGTCCCCGGGGTGTTCCCAGCATTCCCAAGATGCTCCCGGTGTCCCTGGGTGCTGGGATGTTGCGGTTGTGCCAGAGTCTCACCCTTCTCCATCCACGTCCCTTCCAGGTGAGCCGGGTGCCAAAGGAGAGAAAGGCGAGAAGGGCATTGGGGTGATGGGGGACAGCGGCCCCCCAGGACCCCCAGGTGAGCCCCCTCCCTCCATGTGGCCACCAGCCCCACGCCGGGGCTTGCTGCCGCCCTGGCACTTCGTGTCACCTCCCTCTCTATCTCTCCATCTCTTCCAGGTCCCCAAGGACCACCAGGCTACGGGAAGATGGGCCCCCCGGGCCCCGTGGGGCAGCAGGGCATCCCTGGTATTCCCGGCCCCCCCGGTGCCACGGGGCAGCCGGGCAAGGCGGGGCACTGCAGCCCGGCAGAGTGCCTGGGGGCCGTGCCCATGGAGCAGCCCCTCTTCCAGCCCAAGAACGTCAAGGGCCCCTTCGGCTGAGGGTCCCCCCAGCCCCCCGGCTTTGCTGTTAATATTGTTGTTTCCCCGCTGTGCCGGGGCCGTGCCTGTCCCGGGGGGGTGGGATCTGGGATCGGGGGTTGTACAGCTCCGTCGGGATGGCGAGGGCGGGTGGATCCTGCCCCGCAAATACACCTGTGCTGGTGCCCCCGCGCCTCCCGCTCCGTCAGCGGCACTGAGGGGTCTCTGCGTGTCCTCGGCCCTGTTCCCCTGGGATGCTGCTCTGGCTGGTCCTGAGGCCACCCCAGCTGGGGGTGTGGGCCAGCTCCCTGTGACCCTGGGACTGATGGATGAGGGGATCTGGGAGGAATCCCAGCCCTGATCCCAGGGGATCCTGGCCCTGCTTCAGGGGAAATCCCAGCTCAGCTTCCGGGCAATCCCAGGTGTGATCTTGGGGGATCCCAGTCCAGTTCCTGGGGGTATTCCAGCCCTGATCCCAGGAGCTGCCAGCGATGATCTGGGGGTATCCCAGCCCTGATCCCAGGAGATGCCAGCCATGATCTGTGAGGATCCCAGCCCAGCTCCTGGGGAGATCCCAGCTCTCAGAGAATCTTAGGATTCTTGCCTTGCTCTCAGGCTCATCAGGGTCCCGCTCTTGGTCTGATCCTGACCATGCTTGGAATCTCTGGGAATCCCAGACGATCTCCCACGGTGATCCTAGCCCTGCTCCTAGGCAGTGTGTCAGTCCCACTCCCAGGGGAATCCCAGCCCTGATCTTAGGGGGTTGCCAGTCCCACTCTCAGGCGGATCCTAG